AGAGAGAGAGAAAGAGAGAGAAAGAGAGAGAAAGAGAGAGAAAGAGAGAGAAAGAAAGAGAAAGAGAGAGAGAGAGAGAGAGAGAGAAAGAGAGAGAGAGAGAGAGAGAGAAAGAGAGAGAGAGAGAGAGAGAGAGAAAGAGAGAGAGATCGGACAAGTAGGCGGACCAGGGTCCGTCCGCGAGGCGCACTGCGGTGCGACAACTCGCATACACTATTTGCGGCGGTGCAGCCTTTAGATACGAGGGCGGGCAACAAAAACCCCCTCCCCCGGCGCAGTGCGACAGACGCTACAGACGGCGGACAGACGATGATGATCTCACCTGTCAGACCGCGTGAGGAAATAGGCCCCAACAAGAAAGGCGACGTGCTGACACGTGGCTAGGCGGCTTGGAAGACCGCCAGTTGGGCGCTTGGCCGCTAAGCGGCGCGCAGTGACGGGGCACCCCCCGCCCCCACGCCCTGACACCGTGGACGCGGAGCCACGCGTACACACGGGCAGGCAGAAGAAGAGAGAGAGAGAGAGAGAGAGAGAGACGAGAGAAGAGACGAGAGAGACGAGAGAGAGAGAGAGAGGGAGAGGGAGAGAGAGAGAAGAGAGAGAGCGAGAGAGAGAGAGAGAGAGAGAGAGAGAGAGAGAGAGAGAGGAGAGAGAGAGAGAGAGAGAGAGAGAGAGAGAGAGAGAGAGAAAAAGAGAGAGAGAGAGGAGAGAGAGAGAGAGAGAGAGAGAGAGAGAGAGAGAGAGAGAACGAGAGAATGAGAGAATGAGAGAGAGAGGGGGGGAGATGGAGAAGAGCCGAGGCCAAGAGCTCATTTGCAGAAAACACTCGCAGCGCTCGAGAGCGCTTACCCGCACACATAGAGCAGTTCGCTGGAGCAGAACACATCCTCACACATAGCGAACTGAGTACACCTTCGCACAGACCTCTGTACTCCAACATGTATGGCGAACTGAGTCACTGAGTACACCTTCACACATCCACCTTGTGCTCCAACATGTACCGAACTGAGTGCGCCTTCCTCGCCTGCTGGCGAAGCTCGTTGTTCGTGCAGCCACGCTCCAGCTCTGAAAATGGCTGCTGCTGAGGCGGGCGCGTTCTCGATGCTCCTGCACGCGCGACTGCACTGCAAGACCATGTTCGTCCTCTCTGGCATGCCGATGTCGTAGTTGCTGGTCCGCTGGCGCTTCACACTGCTGAGGTTCCCATCGCCCATGTCCTGGGGGCCCTCGAAGATGACGATCTCAGACTTCGGGTTCGGGGCGTCGCCGTCCGAGGCTGCCGGCGCCGCGGCCTCCGCTGGAGCCTCCAACGCTGCAGGCTGCAGCGGCGAGGGGCACTGAACAGGTTGCGCTGAGCCTGAGGCTGCTGCTGCAGCAGCGGAAGGCTGTGACACCGCCGTGTGACTGTGCGGCAGCGTCGGAGTCTGCGACGGGCGCGGCACCGGCTTGCCTTTGCTGCTGTCCGCAGCCCCGCTGTTGCTGCCTTTGCTGAGCCACGCAGACTGCGGGGCGATCTGCTGCGAGATGTGCAATGACTTGTCTCGGGGAATGACAGGCTTCACCTTGGAACTGACAGCCTCTGACCACGCATGAGATTTGGCTGCAGACTCTTGCGCCGCGATGTCTTTCGCCGGCTGGCCCTGTTTTTTCTCGAGGCCAAGCATCTCCTCATGGTGGAAGTGATTGACACCAAGCAATGGGGTGTCTTGGCGGAACACATCACTCTGACTATCAAGCATATCGATGTCGACCAACGTGTCTGGGGCCATGGAATCGAGCAGCTGAGTCTGATAATCTCAGTGGTGTCAAATCGCCCTGGAGCCCGAAACGGCCATGGATTGCATGCAACTGGCATTACACAGATGTAGCATTGCATTCCAACTTGCGCCGCCTAGCATTTTTAATCAGTTCTACCATCACATAGCCTAGCATCACATAGCCAAGCATAGCATAGCCTAACACAGTCCACCATCACACAGCTTAGCCTAGCATCGCATAGCCTAACATAACATAGTATAGCATTGCTTGGCATGGGCCATGTCTGCGCCAACGTAACATCTCGATTTGCCTCCTCGTTCTCCTCATCCTCATCCTTATCTTCATTGTACCTCCTCATCCACGTCAGTGAAGAGAGGAATCTTCAGTGATGCCTTGAAGTGCCTCAGGGTGCCTTGGGGTGTCTTGGGGTGCTTTGGGGTGCCTTGGGGCGCCTTGGGGCGCCTGGAAAATTGCGCTTTGGGAGGGCCAGGGCCCCCCTGACCACGAGGGGGAGGGGGGGGGAGGAGGGGGGGGGAGAGGAGGAGGTGGGGGGCAAGCCATCTTCAAGATAGGTTCCCTACATAGGCTCTGGCTGAAAGGGTTCTTGCTCTCTTAGCTGAAAGGGCCCGGCAGTGCACAGCGCCCCGGGCGGCCCCCCCAGCCCCCGCCCCGCGGTTCCCCCAGTCCCCTGAGAGCTTTAGCTTTAGCTTTAGCTTTTAGCTTTAGCTTAGCTTTAGCTTAGCTTTAGCTTAGCTTTAGCTTAGCTTTAGTTTAGCTTCAGCTTGGCTTTAGCTTAGTTCTAGCTTAGCTTTAGCTTAGCCTTTACCGTAGCTTTAGCTTAGCTTTATCTTAGCTTTAGCTTAGCCTTTGCCTAGCTCTAGCTTAGCTTTAGCCTAGCTTTAGCTTATCTGCACCCTAGCTTCAGCTCAGGTTTAGCTTAGCGGTAGCTTAGCCTGAGCTTAGCCTTAGCGTAGCTTCAGCTTAGCTTCAGCTTAGCCTTAGCTTAGCTTTAGCTGTACCTTAGCTGTACCTTAGCTTTAGCTTAGCTTTAGCTTAGCTTCAGCTTGGCTGTAGCTGAGCTGCACCTTAGCTTTACCTTAGCTTTAGCTTAGCTTTAGTCTAGTTTTAGCTTAGCTGTAGCTTAGCCTTTACCGTAGCTTTAGCTTAGCTTTAGCTTAGCTGTAGCTTAGCCTTTACCGTAGCTGTAGCTTAGCTTTAGCTGAGCTTTAGCTTATCTGCACCTTAGCTTTAGCTCAGGTTTAGCTTAGCGGTAGCTTAGCCTTAGCTTAGCCTTAGCTTAGCCTTAGCTTACCTTAGCTTAGCTCTAGCTTAGCTTCATTATAGCTTTAGCTTACCTTGAGCTTAGCTTCGCTTAGCTTTAGCTTAGCTTTAGCTTAGCTTTAGCTTAGCTTTAGCTTAGCTTTAGCTTAGCTTTAGCTTAGCTTTAGTTTAGTTTTAGCTTAGCTTCAGCTTTAGCTTTACTGTTCGTACTAATGATGCTTTCCTAGGGGCTCCAACTCCTATGTTGGGTCGCACTGGGATAATGTTTCTCAGGCCCACGCGCGGCATGGCACGCGCGAGAACCACGCGCAGTGCTGGCAGGAGATCCACACACCAGCGTGAGACATCATAAATTCCAAACATGCGCGCGTGAGAACCACGCAGAATGAACGCTGGCAGGAGACCCACACACCAGCGTGACATTATAAATTCCAAAAATGCGCGCGTGAGAGAAACACGCAGAATGAACGCTGGCAGGGGATCCACACACCAGCGTGCAATCTCAACATCATTCAACAGCTGGCAGGAGATCCACGCACACAAGTTCTCGCTGGCTGGCCACACACCAGCTCTTCACATTGAAATGGGATTGATAGCTCCTCCTCCTCATGCTCCTCCTCCTGATCCTGCTCCTCCGGCTCCTTCTGCTGCAGTTCCTCCTCCTCCTCCTCCTTCATTACAAGCGCTGAGTGCCAAGCCGATGCACTGCGCGCGATGAGGCCGTGGCCTGAGACGAACTAGAGCGGGGGCATGCGCCCTCTTCTCGCGCCTTGCTTGCTTGCCCTCGTCCCCTCCTCCTCATCCTCCTCCTCCCCCTCCCCCTTCCTCCTCCCTGCCTGCCTCTCCCTCCTCCTGAAATGCCCCTCCTGGTCAGGGGAAACCCAACCCTGTCTGACTAGAAAGAAGATTGGTTAGCCAGATCGGCTAGCTAACCAGCACACTAGGCCTTGGTGATCGGCAGGGCCGCGCCTGCAGTCACTTTGACCGACTTGATCAGAGCAACATGTGGACGCACTGGGGCAAGCCCACTCATAGTCCACCTCATGGCCCAAACAATCCTCGATGAAGTAGTGCCCCAGAGATGCGAGGGCACTGCGCCAGCCACATGCTTGTAGTCCATTGTGGCAACTTCGCCATCCTCATGCTTGACAGGGGCCCCTTCTTCCACGTTCCAGACCATGTCGTGCTTCATTGTGAGTGTCTGCCGCGCCGGGTCCTCATCGATGGGGCCATCCTGGAGATCGTGATACAAGACAACGGCGGCGCAGGCAGGGCGATTCTTCCCGCGCGTTGCCAAGGCCGCGCCTAGCGTCTGCAAACTGCTGCCAATGTAAATCAAATCATTGGCGTCGACCAAACGGAACGGGATGTCAGCCACAGAAAGCTCCTTGTTTTCTTTGTTGTGCCACCATGTGCCCTTCCACCAGCCAGCGATCAAAGTACCCGGCGTAAGAGACACTGTCACCTCATCTTTCGAAGGCACCAAGTACTACTGATTGCCAGTGCAGATCACAACCTTCATGAGGACATCACTGGATCCCGGAAGCGTGGCAGAGCAAGTCTCCGAAGCCATATCAGAGATTGGAATCAGACCATCGCTACAAACATCCATGCTCTCCAACTTGGGCTTCTTGGGATCTGGCGGGCTCGCTCCAACCATTGGCAGGTCCTTGCGCTTGACAGGGGTGCTCGAAGACGCAGCCCCCTCCTTCACATTAACGAACATGTTGGCAGACTCCCACAACTTCTCGAATGGGATCTTGATGCTCGGGCCAGGGCTGCTGAGATATTTATCCACGAGCTGCTCAGACAACGATAGAGCGGCAAAACCATCGACTTTGACTGAAGAGTTCCACGTGCACACATGAAGCTGCGGAAGCGGCAACTCAGCCTCAAGCATGTCCCGGGGCATCTCCTCTGGTAGTGGTGTAGCTCCGCGGATCTTCAGACTGCCATCCATGAGTTTCTCGCGCGCCCAGACTGCAATGTTCTCCAAGAGCCACGCCACCTCCACATCCGAGGCCGCAATCGCGTGCATGTGCATTGGGCATGTGACATCTGCCTGGGAGAGTAGGAACATCTTGATCATGTCGCCAGTGTGGGGGAACAAATCGATCAGACTAATGTTTGCATCCGGCACCTTCAGGCTGTCCAGGCACGCATGCAGGATGGCCTTGCACGCATCGAATCCAATATGCATGACCTTCTGTGCAGGGACAATATGCGCGTGCTGGTCTGTAGTTGGTGGCAAAGCAGCTTCCGAAACATCGCTGATCATTTCCATGTCCACTGTTTTCATAGCCTTGACCGGCCCAACGAGCGCAGCCTGACTGAAAAGACCTGATGTCTTCCAACACGAATCCTTCAACCGCTTGCTCAACGGAGTGCAAATCCTGCCCATGTAAAGCAACGGGCGCATGTCCCGAGGATCATCGGGTTTACAGAACGTGAGAGACCAACAACGATCAATATTGATGTTTGTTTCTGCTAACTGCTTGTTGATCTCACTCTCGATGCGATAAGTCTCACCTTTCGTTTCCGTAAACGCAGGAGATAGAAGCAGACCCAAGTTCTGCCCATCATCATTGAGCAGAGCGCCAAGAAACTGCACACTGAAATTGGCATGGGCTGCGCGCAACGCACACGGAGAACTGAAATTCACGAATGCAAACCGCGCTGTGGCACGCCGGCTCTGCTCAATATACATTTTGAACTCGCCAGCAAGGTCGCCCTTGTTGAACTCGCTGATTGCGATGACCTTGGAGCAACGAACGCGCGGGTAGATGGCCACCAAGATAGCTCCAAGATAGCTCCAACGAACGAACCTGACCCAAGATGGCCACCAAGATAGCTCCAAGAGGGCCTCAGGAAACCCAAGAAATATGCCCAAGTGTCAAAAAAAAACCCTAGGTCTCCAAGAGACCTCCTCGTTTTTATGGGGCCCCCTCCAGCGCCCCCAAAGGGCGGGTGGGCCCCAAGACAGCAGGGCGCCCAATGCGCCCCAAGAGCTGCCCAAGAATGCTCCAAGAGGCAACTTGGGGGGGCAATTGAAACCCCCTTCTGTCAGGAGGAGGGAGGAGGAGGAAGAAGAAGAAGAGGGGGGGGGAGGAGGAGGAGGAGGAGGAGGAGGAGGAGGAGGAGGAGGAGGAGGGGGAGAGGAGGAGAGGAGGAGAGGAGGAAGGAGGAGGAGGAAGGAGGGGGAGGAGGAGGAGGAGGCGCACGGAGCGAGAGACCTTGTTGAGCTCTTGCTGAACGACCTCCGAGGCTGCCTGGAACCGGCGATTGCACCACTGGCGCTCCTGAGCAGACACCCGGGCTGCGTTGGTCCTCTCGGATATGCAAACGAAAACAAAGCTGCAGTTACAAGGCTACTCTCTCTCTCTCTCTCGCTCTCCTTGCAGAGAGAGAGAGAAAGAGGGAGAGAGAGACCTGCCTCTCCTCATCCTCCTGGTGATCCTCCTGCTCCTCCTCCCCATCCTCTTCCGCCCAGCCAGAAAGCCTGCTTGTGACCTCTCCTCCTCCTCCTGTCCTCCTCCTCCTTCTCCTCCTCCTCCTCCTCCTCCTCCTCCTCCTTCTCCTCCTCCTACTCCTCCTCCTCCTCCTCCTCATTCGCCTGATCTCCTTCTCCTGGTCCTCATAATATTTTTGATCCACCTTCCTCCTCCCTCCCCTGACCCCCCCCCCCCCCCCCCCCCCCCCTCCCCCAAGGCGTTTATACCGGCTGTCCTGGTCTTCCGCGCGCACACGCTGCGGGCATCCAGGTCGGCAGAAATTTTTTGTTCGAAGAGGTCGTATTCAGTTTTCTCAATATCAGCCTGAATCAGTTCACCCTCGGCAACACCTGTAAGCGAAACGTCGCTGGCATCCACATGGGCAGCAACCACCTCCTCGAATAGCGGGTGAAGCTCATTCACAGGGCCCTGGGGCTTGCTGCGCAAGAGACCCTGCAAAGCAACCAACATGTTAGCGTCCCTCCCCTTGATGAATGGAATCAGGAGCACCTCCTCCATCTTCGAAAACGGAACAGGGCATTGGCTGCACAACTCCTTGGACAACGACAGAACCATCGCGCATAATTGCGCAGCCTCCTCCATGGATGATTTATCAAGCTCGCGCCTGACACCGGGGAGCTTATCCTTCTGCATGTTGCTCTGCCAGCGTACCATCACCAAGAAACTCTCGTCAGTCACTGCCAAGCGCTTCGACCACACCTCATTGCCAGCGAGGCGCGGCACGTGCCCAGGCATGATTTTTTGGTTAGACCACGCATCATCAGTCCAGGGGGAGTGCTCGAATCCCAAGGTACTAACGCAGTTCAGAACGACATCGATTGCCTCCTGACCCAAAGACACGAGCGCCAACACAGACACGCGTTTCCCACCGCTGAGCTGAGCATTTGAACTTGCCATGCCGTTATATGTCTTGATGACCTGGGATGGGTCCTGGCCGGATCGTTTGAGCATTTGAAGTTTCCCAACCCACGTGATAGCATCGCGCGCCTTCCTGATGGAGCCCCGCTGGGATAGCGTCGCGTTGCGCAGTGCAATTGCAGTCATAGTGACGTGTCCTTCGACCACCACGCGGACACGGCGAGCACTCTGAAAAAGCAACGGGAACACATCAGCAACAGTCTGTGCCACTGGCTGCTTCCACAACCACACGAGAGGCGCGAGAAGAACAGCAAAGCGAGCAGCTCCTTCCACAAAGCCCAGGTTGAAGTAATCCTTGTCCTGCGCGCGGGGGAACGCTCGCAGTGGCTCATTCTCTGTAACACACCCATCTTTGCCAATCTCTGCAGCCAATGCTTTACACGTGATGGCATATGGGGGCGGTTTCGTTGATGCATCCCGGTCGTAACCAAAGTGCCACACGCTTGCCCACTGAGGGTCGGGTGCCACTGCATTGTTCAAATCAACATACTCAACATCGGGCGTCTGGCTTAGTTCAGAACTCAACCATTTACCAAACTGGTTTTTCGATTTTTTGCGATCCCCATTCTCTGTCATTGTTTGTTCAATATACTGCACTGGCCCGCCAAACTGATCAACCACCAAGTCCATCAATTTAGAAACTGATAGCGACACCCGGACCTTAGAATCCTCATAGCAACAATCTTCCTCTTTGACACGTAACATGGAAGCAACTGCAGAGGAAAGAGAGACCTGGCGAGACAGTTCGGTAAGCGGAAAGTGGGAAAGCCTCAGAACCACAAACATTACATACAATTCAATGAGAACGACACCAACTCACGAATCATGAAAAAACTCAGGGGGTCAAGGCGAACCTCGACCTGGACCAACTCACGAATCATGGAAAAAAACTAAGGGGGTCAAGGGGAACCTCGACCTGGACCTTGACTGGGGCCTTACGCTTGTGGAAGGGGCCTATGAAAAGCCTTTGTGGATGGAGCTCACTATTGGGCCTATGAGAAGCCTTTGTGGTTGAAACGCACTGCTCGCACATCCAATGGAGGTGGAGCTCCCTATGGGGCACAAAGCACTGCAACTGACGTGCGTATCTGCTTTGCCTAAGTTGTAGCTCCGTGCCCGCATCCTCCTCATCATCGCCATCATCACCCTGTTCCTTTATCATACGCAGTCTCTCCTCCTCCTCCACCTTGGTTATTCCAGGGCCAACCTCCTCCTCCTCCTCCTTCTCCTCCTCCTCCTCCTCTACTGTAAGTCAATATGAATACTACTGTCCTCTCCTCCGAGGGGCGTGTCGATGATGATGGTGATGATGATGATGATGATGATGATGATGATGATGATGATGATGATGATGATGATGATGATGATGATGATGATGATGATGATGATGATGTAATGGCAATGGCGTCGCCAACAGAACCACTAGGCAGCCACCCAAGTCCAGAAGCCAGCCACCCAAGTGTAATGATTAGCGCTTCCAGGCGGGCTCTGCGGCCCCCCCGGCGTCGTCGACGCCTCGGGCGTCGGGCGTCGCCCCCCCCATCGGCGGCAACACCACCGTCGGCGTCTGCGTCGGCGGGGGCGCCCCGGGTCGGCATGGACTGCGCGGGAGAACTCCGCGGGAACGCCCAGGCTAGGGGCCCGCCGGGTTGGAGGGCGCTCCAATGAGGCCCCAGGCTTGGCCCGAAGGGCTTCCACGGTGGGGCCCCCCCTTCCTGGCAGGGTCAAAGCCCCCCGACCCCCTTCTCGAGGCGTCTCCGTCTCCTCGAACTCCGTCCCTATCGTCAGCCTCGTCCACGCCGTCGCCCCTGGGCCTGACGGGTTCGACGTGCCGGGGTGGTCGGCCGTCGGCGCCGTGGTCGTCCCCGCCGTCGCCGCCCGCGCCCTTGTCGGGTCGATCGTCGCCGCCAGGGCTGCCGCAGCAGGCCTCCCCCACGGCGGGCGACGTTTCCTGGGCCGTGGTCTCCCTCCTCGGCGCGGGCCGAGACATCCCCCAGCCCCCTCACCTCCCCGGTCGGCCGATCCCGCTGCGCAGGGGGGTCCAATCCTACGGGAGCCTGCCGCGTCGCCGGGGCGCGGGCGGCCCCCTCAGGCGAGGCCCCGAGCTCGACGACTCGGGCGGTGGGGACCTCCTCCTCGGGAGGGTTCCCATCGACGCCCTCGGGGCAGCGTCTCCTGCTTCCCCTCCCGGGCCTTCCCCTACAATTGGCCGTCGACGATCTGCCGCTGGAAGTCGAGCGCCATCTCGCTCCAGTTGGAAATCGCCCCGTCGAGGGTCCCGACGATGAGCTCGCACGTCTCGTCGCTCCACAGGGCCTCGTGCACACCTGGTCGGACCCCCCTGAGCGCGGAGTTGGAGTCCTCAATGGCCCGGGCCGCCTCCCGGGGGCGGCCTCCTCTGGCTGGGGCTCTCGGGCCCTGCCTCCCCCTCCTCCCCCGTTCCTCCGACGGGAGGCCCAAGGGGTTGATGGCTGGGGCTCTCGGGCCCGGCCTCCTCCCCCTCCCATCCCTTCTCCTCGAGGGGCAGAGGGGCTGACCGGACGGAGTCGATCACAAAGTCGAGGAGGAACCGCTGGAGTACCCAATGGAATCCAGCCGACGCTCCACCAGGGAGCGCTCCAGGGGCCCCCTCCTCAACGCACCCACTGGGGTGCGCTCCAGGGTGGTCCGCCCAGGCGGGCATCCAAGGGAGTCCAACCGCCGCTCCACCGAGGAGCGCCCCAGGGGCTTCCTCAACGCACCCACCGGGGTGCACTCCAGGGTGGTCCGCCCAGGTGGGCACCCAAGAGTCCAACCGCCGCTCCACCGAGGAGCGCCCCAGGGGCTTCCTCAACGCACCCAGCGGGGTGCACTCCAGGGAGGTTCGCCCAGGTGGCCCTTCCCGGATGGCCAGATGGCCGGGTAGCCAGATGGCCAGGTGGCAGAGTGGCCGGGTGGCCAGGTGGCCGGGTGGCCGGGTCGCCAGAGGATCGCCGGGTCCTCACCGGGTCTTCGCCGGGTCTTCGCCAGGTCGCCGGGTCGCTGCGCGCCCATATCCCCATGGGTGCATGGGGCGGGGCCCCAGTCCAGGGCGGGGGGCCCGGCCGACCTCCGTGCCGAGGCCCCCACTCCCCCCTCCTTCTCCGAGTCGAGTATCGGGTCCGAGGTAGGCCCACCCACGCCCCCGCGGTCCCCGCCTCTCGCGGGGTGCGTCGGCGCCTCGGGCTCCTCCACCCTCCCCTCTTCTTCCTCCTCCTCCTCCTCCTCCTCCTCCTCCTCCTCCTCGTCCTCCCCCTTCTCCCCTGAACCGTGGGGCCATACCAGCCTGAGCTCCGAGGCCCAGCCTCCTCGTCCGCCTCTCCCTCCTCCACGCGGGGAGGAGGAGCTGATGGCCCGCCCGATATCCGGGCTGGATCCGCCTTCGCTCCCCAGCCCCTCCACGAGACAGGTCTGGAGCGCAGAGCCACCGAGCCCGGGCAAGACTACCTCTCGCCCGGGGGGGGGGCCAAGCCGGATCCGCCTTCGCTCCAGGCCCCTCCTCGGGGCGGGTCTGGAGCACAGAAACGCCGGGCCAGGGCAAGAATTCCTCTCGCCCGTGGTGGGGGGCCGGGCCGGAGCCGCCTGCGCTCCCCGGCCCCTCCACGGGGCAGGTCTGGAGCGCGGAACCGCCGGGCCAGAGCAGATCGTGGGGCCGGTTCACCGGGCTGGTTGAGAGAGGAGACGACCGAGTCCGCGCCGGCGGGTGCGTGCCCGACGTTGCGGACGGCCCGAGCCTCGGCGGCTCCTGCGAGGGCCCTCGGCCCTCCCTTCCCCTCGTCCTCTTGCGGCCTCGTCGGCGAGGGGTCGGAGGCGGTGGGGGTGGTGCAGGAGCCGGCGGTGGCCGCAGGGCTGGTGAGCCCTGCGGCCACCGCCGCCGCCAGGGGGACGGCAACGCAGCCGCCGAGCATGAGCATCGCAGATGATCCTGGCCCGCGCGCCAGGCTGCTGGGATGAGGGGGGGCATTCCCCCCCTTCGCAAGAGTACACGCAGCCTTAAACCAAATGGCTGCAGGAGAAAGGAAAGGAAGAGAGCGGCAGGGGAGGAATCACCCTGTCAAAAGGGTAAACCCCCTAACTGAGACGTTAAACTATCAGCCAACACCCACGGCGGGCTCGACATACTTCGTCGACCTACTGGACCAGGACGGTAACCCGATCACGCATGAGTACTACAATGCCGATGGCCTACCCCCCCCGACGAAGCCCTACAGTAAGCGCGGCTCTCAGCAGACCCTACGCGGACAAAACAAAGGCACGCACGGGGATGCGACCGAGGGGGGCAACTAGGCCGTGATGGATACCTCGTACTCGCTACCATCCCTTCGTTTTTTCATGATGCGGTCAAGTCGGCACGCCGTCACAGATGGCATGTCGGGCATGGCCGATCTATCGATCGACACACAGATGTTACTTCTGAGGTCTGCAGCGCTGCAGACAAGGTACTACGTCTCCGGCAGGTACGCTGGCATCTTCTGAGTGGCCCCGACGCTCGCCCTCCTCCTCCTCCTCCATTACTACACAATATGAACACTACTGTCCTCTCTTCCCTGGCGACGTCCGGGAATTATTTGGCTCCCCTCCGCGTACTGGTCTTTTACACACAGGATTCCCGGGAAAACGGGTTTCCGCTTGGGTTTGTTTCCAAATGCTGCTCTCGCCGAACCGCTGGCTTCATTTTCGGGCTACCGCTCGTTCCGAATCGTGCTCCCGCTGCAGCGCTGGCCTCATTTCCGCGCTTTCGTTCGTTCCGAAGCGTGCTCCCGCTTCAGCGCTGGCGTCATTGTTTCCAGCGCCATGCCACGGCTTGGTTTTCGGTCCTTCCAAATAGGCCCCAAAATCAAAAAATGGCTCCCCGAAACAACCGTCGGAAGTGATTACACATTCGGTGTCGCTTCGTTGATTTCTGGGGTCGCAGAAGCCCACCCCCCCATTTTGGAGGCGTCGCAGGCTATGTCAGGCTACGCGTCCTCCGAATCGTGTTCACGTTCCAGCGCTGGCTCCATTTCTGCGCTTCCGCTCGTTCCGAAGCGTGCTCCCGCTGCAGCGCTGGCGTCATTGTTTCCAGCGCCATACCACGGCATGGTTGTGGGTCCTTCCAAACCAAAAAAAATCTACAAAATTGCTCCCCGAAACAACCATCGGAAGTGATTCTACAGACGATATCGATTCGCTGATTTTTGGAATCGCAGAAGCCCCCCCCCACTTTGGGGCGTCGCCACGCCATGCTATGTCAGACTACGCGTTGATCTTCAGCACCATGCTATGCCATGCAATGCTATGCCCTGCTACGACATCCTACTGTGCGAATAGAGATGAGATCTACGCCATGGAGAGGGATGGGAAGGAAGGGTAGGGCGTCAGATATGACGCGAGCGCACCTAGCTTGCCCCTCCCCCCTCCCCTCCTCCCCCCCCCCTGGTTACCTCGTCCCTCCCCCCCACACGCCTGTGGAAAGGGTTCCCCCGGTGGCGTCCGGGGTGGTCCTGCACTCGCGCCAGGTTAACCGCCGCCAGGAGGCCGCGGGCGCGCGAGCGCAGAAGGGGGCACTGCGGAGCTCTGCGAGAGAGAAAGAAAGGAGGAGGCGGAGGAGGAGGAGGAGGAGGAGGAGGACCAGTCTAAACCCAAGACCCATCAACGAGGTTGCAATACACTCTCCCTCCAATGTCCCTCTTCGTAGATCCATACAAGAATGTATGTTTGTTGCGGGGAGTGCCCCGT